GACTTTTGCGCTGTATTTTAAGTCTTCTGAAGTCATGTAATTGCTTTGTGTGAGGAACAGACCCAAATTTAAGTCATTATCCATTGAAAATGTTCATTCATGCTCGAGTACGTTCAAATATGGCGCATGAAGAAGCATCACGACAAGTTTGAGCATTGTAGTAAATTATTTTCTTTAAACGTTACACTGTGATAAATTTTTCTAGGTCAGTAAATATATTTTTGATTCATGTAAACCTTACAAATGTTACTATTTTTATTTTACTTTATGCTAATTTTATGGAGAGCTGTAAATAGAGTTTTACTGAAAAAAATGGGTGTAGAAACAATTTTAACTCAGAAATTGCTAGTAAATTTCGCAGTTACAAAGAAACGGCAAGTAACATTAAATTGTACATAAATTTTTTAAATGTAGAAATACTAAAATAGCATTTTTTTTAAGTTCTTGTTTCTTTGTTTTGTTTACAACTTCAAAATTATTATTTTTTTAAGTGTGTTTGTGCTTGTGAGCAGTTAAAATTGTGAAATTTGGAACAACATGAGAGCGAGTAAATGCTGGCAGAAATGTCATTATTGTGTAACTATTCCAAAAGAGCCCTGTGTTTCACTATGCCATTGCTGATGTGTCTTTCGCTTTTACAGGTATATTATTGATGGTGCCACGGCTCTTTGGTGTGCAGCTGGCGCTGGGCATTTAGAAGTGGTATGTTTGCTGGTCTCGCACAACGCCCACGTGAATCACACCACCCTCACGAACTCCACCCCCCTCAGGGCTGCGTGCTTCGACGGCCGGCTGGACATCGTACGGTATCTCGTTGAGCACAAGGCCGACATCAGCATTGCCAATAAGTACGGCAACACTTGTTTGATGATCGCCGCTTACAAGGGCCACACCGACGTTGTTTACTTCCTGCTGGAGCGCAGCGCGGATCCTAATGCCAAAGCTCACTGTGGGGCTACTGCGCTGCACTTTGCCGCAGAAGCCGGGCATCTGGATATCGTGAAGGAGCTGGTACGATGCCAAGCAGCTATGGTGGTTAACGGACACGGCATGACGCCACTGAAAGTGGCGGCCGAAAGTTGCAAGGCGGACGTCGTAGAGCTGCTGCTGTCGCATGCGGATTGCGATGTACCTAGCCGCATTGAGGCATTGGAACTGCTTGGAGCATCTTTCGCCAACGACCGTGAGAATTACGACATTCTTAAGACCTACCACTACTTGTACCTCGCCATGCTGGAGCGATTTCGCGATCCCGAGAGGGTTATCGCCAAAGAGTTGCCGTCTCCTGTTGCGGCGTACGGAGGGAGGGCAGAGTGCCAAAATTTGCAAGACTTAGATGCCATTCGACACAACCGGGATGCACTACACATGGAAGGCCTCATGATTCGTGAACGAATTCTGGGTGTGGATAACATAGACGTGTCGCATCCCATAATATATCGCGGCGCGGTCTACGCCGACAACATGGAGTTCGAACAGTGCATCAAACTCTGGCTGCACGCCTTGCATCTACGCCAACAAGGAAACCGCAACACGAATAAAGACCTCTTGAGATTTGCGCAAGTGTTCTCGCAAATGGTCCACTTGAAGGAGCCAGTCCGCGCATCGGACGTTGAACACGTTTTGAGCGCCAGCGTCCTAGAGATCCGCCGCAGCGTGGCGCGCTTGCGAACCACCACCGATGCGGAGTTGCTGGCGGCCACCGACAGCTACGAATCCAACGTGTTCACTTTCCTCTACCTGGTTTGCATCTCTACGAAAACGCAGTGCAGCGAAGAGGAACGAGCACGTATAAACAAACAGATCTACGACTTAATATGCCTAGATCCGCGATCCCGAGAGGGGTTGTCGCTTTTGCACCTAGCAGCTAGCTCTAGTACGCCAGTAGACGACTTCCACACCAACGACGTGTGCAGTTTTCCAAACGCGCAAGTGACCAAGCTGCTTATAGACTGCGGAGCCCAGGTAAACGCCGTGGACCATGAAGGAAACAGCCCTTTACACCTCATCGTACAGTACAACCGTCCCATCAGCGACTTCTTGACCCTCCACGCCATCATCATCAGCCTCGTCGAAGCCGGCGCTCATACGGACATGACCAACAAGCAAAAGAAGACCCCGCTTGATAAGAGTACAACGGGCGTTTCTGAAATCCTTCTGAAGACGCAGATGAAGATGAGTCTGAAATGCCTGGCGGCTCGCGCCGTGCAGGAACATCAGATCTTGTATCGGGACCAGATTCCAAAAAGCCTGGAGGAGTTTGTTGAATTTCACTGACCTGTGCTTTTGTTTTTCCATCAGATCTGGTTTTTGGAGTTCGTTTTAACCTGTGAAACGGTGCTGTGAACTCCTAATTTGACCTCGTTTAGTGCTCTGCACGGATTGCAAGTCTAGAAAATGTAGAAAATATACATCCGTTTGGGAGATCTGACTAAATGTAACTGCTGCATTTTATCCCAAAGGAACTGGAGTTTCCAGTTTCATTCTGGTTCTTTTTTTAACAAATCAAAGAGGATGCTAATGCTGATGGATACTGGCAGCGCAAAAGACTCTTATTTTGAAAACTAATACGTTTCTTCTTTTGGCAGACAGCATTTTATTGTGTGTTGGACTGTAGTCATGACAATGTGAACAGCTTTTTTTATTAAGCTGCTCTTTTGTCAAAATTTTCATATTTTTTGTTTTCATAACATATTTTATAAGAGGTTTATTTAAAACAGTGAAAAATGTCTATTTTATAATGAATCAATAGCCGAGAGTTGATATCCTAAAGCTAAACTCCGTGCCAGGTGGTTTCTTTTATTTGAATATTAAAATGTGCCTGTAACCAGAAAGTTGGAAGTTTATAATTATTATTGTCATTATTATTATTATTATTATTATGGTTCTTTTTTTTTAAACCATGATGCCACTTCAAAGCCAATTAGCGAGTCTGTAATTCTGACTTGCGTTAATGAACACGTGCTGGAGCTCTTTTTGAGTCACGGGGCCTTATTCTGGATGGTGCTGTTGTGTGAATGTGTGAGCAGCATGTCTTTCTGCTTTTAGCTCTGTGTGTGTGTGTGTGTGTTTGAGAGCATGTCTGCTTGAATGTGGCCGAATCTGAATGTGAAGGTTTTTAACCCTCTTTGTTTGCACCATGTTTTATTCTTTAATTACTGAAGATTGCTCAACGTGTTTTTATTTCCAAACCAAATATAACAAGATTAAAAACATCGATCTAAGACACCTGTCAGACTCTGTGTGATTCTGTCGCATCTGAATTGCAATTTTTAAAGGAATAGTTCACCCAAAAATGAAAATTTGGAGAAACCAAGATTTGGAGAAATGTAGCATTACATCACTTGCTCATCAATGGATGCTCTGCAGTGAATGGGTGCCGTCAGAATGAGAGTCCAAACAGCTGATAAAAACATCACAATAATCCACAAGTAATCCACACCACTCCAGTCCATCAGTTAACATCTTGTGAAGTGAAAAGCTGCGTGCTTGTAAAAAACAAATTTACAAATTTCCACTTTAACTTCAAATCGTCGCTTCTGGCCAAAATATGACTCCATAATCCAGTGAAAAAGTCCATCTCCTGTTGTCTCTCACATCAAAATCCTCTCACATATTTGTTTAGAGCTGTTTTGAACTGTTTTGGCATGTAAACAGTGCTTGATCTGTGCAGATTTCTCTCCTGATTCAGACAAGATGACATTTTCACTGGAAGAAGCGTTATGGATAGAGGACTTTTATTTTTAGGAAGAAACAGAAGGTTTGAAGTTAAAGTGCCTTAATGATGTATCTATTTTTTTTAAACACATAGCCTGTCACTTCACAATATATTAACTGATGGACTGGAGTGGTGTGGATTATTGTGATGTTTTTATCAGCTGTTTGGACTCTCATTCTGACGGCACCCATTCACTGCAGAGCATCCATTGGTGAGCAAGTCTTGGAATGCTAAATTTAGAACTATTTCTTAAATAAGGGAATTCAAAAACAAATATTTAGTCTTTTAAATCAAGGTGATTTTAATTTATTCAGTGGTCCGATTAAAAGCACATGACAAACATTCAGCTGCCATCTTTACATGCAATAAAATGGTGACATAAATGACAACAATTAAACCGAGTGACCATAGAATCACCACGGTGTCTTAAACTGAAAGCTGTGAAGCCATGTCAGAAGAAAATACTGTCTGAAAACATGACTATGTTTAGAACAGAACCATCAAACTACTTGTTGCTGAAGTATGTATAGTGTGCACAGTATGCTTTTTATGCATCGCATGACCTACATTTATCAAATTGTGCACACTGCACTGAATAACCTTATAACCATCAATGCAATGCATTTAACTTGATCTTTCACTTTTCCAGTGTGATGAATGGATTGTAAATTTGTCTTACTAATAATTTGGTCAGGCTGACATCTTCATAAATACTTTGACTTTAAATGTAAATAACCTTATATGGTTTACACATGGAATAATGCATACTATTTCACTTAGTATTTTTTTTAAATAGTCTGCAGTATACAGTGTGCTTGTAAGTAGTAGACTAGTATTCCGTTCTGAACACAGCCACTGTTATTCGAGACCGCGATCATGAAAAAAAAAGTGTTTAAGGGTAGTTGAGATGTCAAGAATATTTTATTAATTTATAGCATTTTTGTCTAAGTCTTATGATAATATTAATGGAGAAATTACATAAAATGTACTTTTACATTATTTTTTTTTTGGATATCACATTACAGAAATATATATATATATATATATATATATATATTAGTGCTGTCAAACGATTAATCGCGATTAATCACATCCAAAATAAAAGTTTTTGTTTACATAATATA